GATCAGCAGAGCTGCATGCACTGAGTGTGTGTGTGAGGAAGTCCGTGGATTGGTCAATTTGGACCAATCAGCGGGGGCTTAACGTAACGGCTCCGCGGACGTAACGTAACGGCTCCACGGATTGGTCCATTTGGTTCCGGGTAACGCATGACATCATGAGTTACCCGGAAGAATCAAATGGACAGTGACGTTTCACCAACGAGGCGTTTTGGGGAGGTATTTTCTGTGTTAGAGTTTTACTCGCTACAGAGTGTACTTTGAGGGTTTTGACTCTGCAGACCGTTTACATGCAGAAAAACCTTCATAACACACAAGGGGACGGGTAATAACCGGAAAAGCATGACATGGGACCTTTAAGTCTGATAAGCCCTTAAAATAATCCACCTGTTACTCAAACTTGAATTCCTTGCTTGTAATTTCATTCATTTTTTGAACAAGGCTGTTTTTGGTCTGCCAAATATTTGTAATTCACTCAAATATTGTTACTTCATCATGTTACTACCCAGCATAGTAAGGAGTATTTTTCATTTGAGAGAAAATGTGCTTCTGGAATTATCTGACCCCTCCGTCTGCCTACACACACTGGATGCATAAGATAAGAGTGTGGAGGGCAGGGCTGCACTAACCTGCTGCCTTCTGGTTTGATCCTGCTGTAGTGAGGCGGACTCGTCCAGAGACAGAAGCTTGGCCGGACTGTAGATCAGAGGAGGCATTTTGGCTGAAGTGATGTCATCCAGGTGCTTTCTGTCCCGCTCCCTCCTGGCCTGAGCTGATAGCGGTGATGAGGCTCCAGTAGAGTGGCTGGGTGATGAGGATCCTGATGGAGTGTTTTCGGGCAGCCTGAAAACACAGTGGAGAACATCTTATTTAAAATAAGAACTATGAAATAAAGCAAAAATAACACACTGTTACTGAATGAAATCTACATAAATGTATACGCTTTTTTGGTATATGTCAAAAGTTATTATAACATCATGAAAAAAAGTCAACTCACTGGTTTGGTTTAAATCTTTGCTTCCTGGGTGCTGAAGTGTTCTCCGTTCTTTCCAGGAGAGTAACATGGTGAGGCTGATTTGGTATTTGCTTTTTGAGAAAGTAATTGTCTCTTGCTGGGACGTTTACTGGTTCTTTGATTTTTAAACCAGTAGTAGTTTCAGACAGTCTGACCCGTTCAAAGGCCTCAACAAGGTCCCCGTCTTTCTTTCGCTCATCAGAGTTCAGAGAGGCCCCAGCCGCTGCAGTCTCCATGGTTTCACGAGCAGCTTCTCTGGAGTCAGACTTGTCCTGTTGCTCGTCCAAAGTGTTTCTTTCCTGCACCTGAGCTGAGACAGCATTTCCTGCAGCAGCCTCACTTTGCCTGTGTTGTTGTGAGGCTGTGGGTGCGTTGGGGACACCACGGTGTGAAGTGAAAGCATGTTGGTACTTGGACTGTAACTCTTTCCTGGCAGCAAACACCAGGCTCTGTTTCTTCTCATCTTCATCAAAGTGTCCAATGGCAAGGTGCACTTTCTCTGCAAATTCTCTTATCTTTTTCCCTTTGTCAGGAAGACTCTGTAAAAACCTCCTACGAACAACACAAAAACATTATCTGATGTTTTATTCTAACAGTTGACATTATTACCATATGAGAGAGCCTTATGCTTGTTTACAACAGTAGAGATGATTTGTGGAGTTGTGGAAAGCATCATCTTCTGTTATAAGAATGTCAACATACGCCACGAAGTCAAACATTAGTCACAAACTTAGCTACAACTTAAGCCCTCTCGGGTATAATATATAGACGGCACAAACTATGGATGATAATAATGAAACTCACGTGTTCGAGAGTATCTTTTCCTGTCGCAGAAGCAGTTCTTGGAGCTCCTCTTTGCTCTGTTTCCCCAGATCTCCCACCCGTCCCTGCCGCTCTGTCCACGACGAGGACATCACTGTTAGCTATTGACAGCTAGCATTAGCTAACATTAGCTACACACATTCACAAACAGTGTGAGCTAACGTCTCAGTTATACACGCTGGACATAAACTCTTACCATACGTTAACCAGCCCAAAAGTTAGCTGTTTACAGATACTTTTGAAGTTAAAGAGTTTAATAAACCTGTAAATGCGACAGATTTACTTATTCAACACATGAGACCACAACAATTCAATGTGGGACTCTTCTTCTTCGTGTGCGGAAATGTGAGCTGTAGCCACAGCGCCCCTGTTGTACAGGACAGTACTGCAGCTCTTCTTCATGTCATCATGAAGAGGTCACGCTGAGCCAGGGAAGGTGATTTGCTGCCCTCTGTTGTTAGAATTCAGTCATTATTAAAACTACATATAGATTTCAAGAGTTGTGATTTCCAAACTTTATCACAGACTCAGGGTCCAGATAAAAGACAATGCATTACACATATTACATTACAGACAACATCGCAATAACTCATGCTTAAAAAAGAATAATAATATGTATCATACAAAGACAACTTGTCTCTGCAGTTTTGATTGTTAGCTTGTATTACTTTGTATTTTTGATAATCGAAATATGATGCATTAAGATAATGTGATGAGACATTAATTGGTATAAAGATATTTACATGAGATTCCTTAAGACAGTTTGTAGAGTGTTGACTCCTGCAACCATAAACATTTTACATGTGAAACACCATTTTGAGGAATATTCTCATGGCGTCATTAAAAGGTACTCAAAGTCACTGTAAACCCTGTAAGCATGCATTTCTGTAGTTTTACCACAAGAGTGCATCATAGAGTGGCCTAACATCTTCACTCTGTCTGTGCCTTCATTTCTTAAGAATAACAATAATTAAATGTCAATAAACTCATTAGGTTTTATGTAATATATTTCTTTATTTTCTCCAATCAGAGCTGTCGGTCTGAACAGGTTTCAGAGTCTCAGAATTTCCACAGCTGCATTTGCCAGGCCGGATGTTTCCCAAACATTGTGCCAAACCATTTCTCTATCAGCGGATGAAACAATGACACAACTTCAACCGAGAGGTTACAGCTGTGTCCTTATTGTCCCCTCTCAGAGTTCACTGTCAGTTTAACGTTTGGCTGCAGCTGCATGGTTGGAATAACATCTTGGCAGACTTTACCTCTTCAATTATTTTGAAAGGACATACTTTTATTTTCTTTATGTCGCTTCTCTATTTTCTTTAATGCATGCAATAGTGATTAATGTCCTTTGTATCAAGTAAGATATCACCAGACACTGTCAAAAATGTATATCTGTTTTACATTTAGCAGTTTTCTCCACATGTTGTAATTAAAATCCAACAAACAAATAAAAAGTGACATTACATAAGCTGCACTATGTGATCCTGAGCATGAATGTTATACTTTATTGATAATATCACCAACTGCACACCTTTTGTCTTTCTAATCCTGATCTTGCCACATACCTATTTTGTCCATTTGTCAAAACGTACTACACCCAGCTCTAAACATTTTTGAACGTTTCTTTTTTTTGTAAATCAACACATTTTCTTGCAACATCACTGATCCCAATAACCGTTCTAACGCAACGTCTTGCCTCAAAGTCAACTATTCTATCTTCTTTACACAACAATTAAAAGTTGTTACCAGGCAACTACAGATTTGCATAATGAAGCCTGTGTAAATAATTATTATAAACACTGTACAGAAGACAGTTCCTCAAATAAATTTGCTGAACTTTTCCTTACTTTAAAGTTAATCTAGAGTTCAGTGTTCACACCATAGGTTCACACGTGAAATTAAGTGTGAAATTGAATCATTAGAATGGAAGGAATACAAACCATTAAAAAAAGGCATGATACCTAAAGGCAGAGGGATTCACATCAATGAACAATGAAGTAGTCATAAACAGGCCTGAGAAAATGTATAAGGTTGCACGGTATATAAGGGATGCCATAAACAGGTTGTACTTACACAGTAAAGTCTTTATTATACAAACATATGCTAGCCTGTTATCATTAGTTGCAGTATGATATGTATATCGATAAGGAAAAGGCACATCATAAAGCTCTTTTAAACACAGTTGCGGCAGTGCAGACAACAGCTGGGTAATACTTGTGCCTCTGGCTCAGGGATGGCAGTCACCTCAGTAAGGTATATACATTTAAAGTGATTAAACAGTCTTATCATTAGCACATAAATGTACTTTCAATTATATACTAGATTACCCTGTAGCCAACTCATTATAGAGATTCATTCCCACCAACAGAATCAGATAGTAGGATGTTCACAAAGGCACAAAGCAAGGTAATACATATTTTGTTCATAAGTTGACAATACCAAAACAATATTAATTTCATTTGTACAGAGCCAATATAAAACTGTAGGACTATAAACAATAACCAAACTTCATATAGGACTGAATACTCATCGCTCTGTGAGCAACACAAGTGGATTTCATTCAGTGTGGACAAAGAAACATTATCCATAAGTACATTATTTACAAAATACTTTTACAGAGTATTATATTATGTACACACCCTACAACAAGCCACATTTTATTACATATAATAGTGCTACATGAGAACATGAGCTCAAAAGCTACACAAAACATTTTGCATGTCACTTGTAGTTATTTTTGGAAGATAACCAGCCTTGAAATAGGAATGAATACATTTGAGTTTTAAATAAACTTTTCAAGATTTTTGGAAAATTAAGCTTATTTGATAGTTTGCCAATAGTTAGAAGAGAGAGAATATACCACTGTTGGTATGATTAATGTGTAACTGCACTTAGCTTAGCTTTAACCGAAGCAACATATTACTGTACGGTAATTGCAGATACATTTAGCTAAGATTAGCATAAAGACTGAACATGTGGGATATAACTAGCTGGATTGCACTATTTCTTGGCTGAGATCAATAACTCAAGTCCCCACAGATGTCCAACAATCCACCAGTAGGCCATTTAACAATTTAGTCATCTTCTTGCCCAAGATATCTAAACACCCGTATAGTCTTTCACAAATCACACATTTGAAAAAAAGAGTTTAAGAGTTTGCAGACCAGCTTAACATTTATTTTTTCTTCAATTTTTCTGCTAAGCTAAGCTAATTAGCTGCTTTTTTAGCTTCATAGTTACATTCAAAATTACGAGTGGTATCAATCTACTAATTCACCTTTCAGCAACAACATGTCAAACTATGACTTCAAGATCTATCTATGTTTATATTTGCCGTTATATCCATAAGTTTCATGAACGCTGTATAAACCTGAGGTGCTCGTGATCTTGGTTGAGAGGACGGGGAAGAAGTGGATTCCTCAGGACTTGATCTTGTGTCTGTGTTTGGTTTTGCGTCCACCTCATCTCTCCCGGACTGGACTGGACTGACAGCAGGCTCAGATTCAGACGGGTGGGGGTAGCTTACCGTCCCACCCGGTACAGAGGAGTTGGCCTGCAGGTACCGGCTGTATTGCGCAGGAGTGTATCTCAGTAAACTGGAGTCTAGCCTACTGGGTGGAGGGTTATTAGACCTGAACGTCCTGGGTTGGGTGGTTGCTAATAGGGAGTGGAATGGAGTTTGAATGGGGGATGTAGGAGATGAAGGTTGCATGGAGGGAGAAGATTGTGTCGAGGAGGATGTTTGTATCAAAGTTGGAGGTAAAGTGGGGGATGAAGGTTGAATCGGGGGTGGAGGGTGTTCGGGAAACACAGGTAGAGTGAATGATGGAGGTTTCATTGGAGGAGTAGGTTTAACAGGTGGTGGTTGTTGAATGGGATGTAGATTAGTTGCTTCATAGTGAACAGGAGGTTCAACATCATGCCTTTTTTCTTCACGTCTGCAGATGCACAGTCAGACATCAAAGAGTGAGAAATCACCTCCAAATGATGCACCAAATTAAACCAGATGCTACTAAAACAGGTTTCTTTCATTTCTTCTTACCCAGGGAGCAGATTGCACCCTACTCCTATCTCGTTGGTTTCTCGCCTATTCTGTGTGGACATAAAATACTTCAGCTTGTCTTCTAATTCATTATTCTGGGAAAAGGAAAACAGGAAACAACACTGTCAGGTCAGGTACATGCAAAGGATGGCAGTCACTTTCCATGTGAAAGTGACTAGATAGGTGCAGTGACATGAGGAAACCAAACAGAAATAGCTGAAAGTTGAGCATTTAGATTTCACAGCAACCCAGACGATCTTTGCTGTTGTCATGCAGTAGATTACCATGCCACACCAAACTAAAGCACACAGTTAACACACAGTGAAGCATCTGTCCTACCCTTTATATAAACAGTCTTTGGCCTTACCTCACACTCCACTATTGCAATTCTGTCCAGAAGCTCTGAGATGAACATGTCCTTCTGAGCCACTTTAGCTCGCAGTGATCCAACCTAAACAAATAGGAGATTGGAAACAATGATCATGTGTTTTCAGTCAGCTCATATTCATTTATTATGCATTTCATATTGGAAATATGTATGCTGGCTGGCAGACAAATCTAACATTGATGCATGTCCGTGTGATATGCCGTGCAACAAATACTTTGTAGTACCCTTTTATAAGACTGTATTGTGAGATGTACTAATTCAACACAGTTCCTATTTTCCCCCAAATATACTACAAAATGACAGTTATTTTCAGGAATATTCTTGGAAAGTATTCAGAAATGTCAAACCCATACAAACAAAGTGTTACCATTGGCAACAGAAACAGTCCAATAATAATCCATGGTAGATAGCCTACTTAATGAGGGAAACCAAACAGTTTTATGTACTCAAGAATTGTCAGCTAAGATACTAAAAATGCATCTTAATCACTAACCCTTTATCTTTAAATCCTGAGTGTTTAACTGAGCCAGTGTAACACCCCACCTTTCATTGACTCTGGGTTACATTTATTACGTTTTATATTCATTGTGTGCATTGAACTCATCCATACACTGCTTGGTAAACAAATTCCTTCTTATTCAGCTGATATCTCATCCACGCCCATTATTTAAAAACAAGTAGGACAGAAGACCTGAATAGTATTCACACACAGATTCAGACACAGATAAATAAACCCTCCCCACCTCCTCGATCATTCCTTTGACTTTTCTCTGCTGGCAGAACACCATATCGTTCAAGTGTTTGATTCTCTCACGGAGAGCCACAGATTCCGATAGCAGCTCTTTTGACCTAAACAGAAACGAGCAATCAGTTAAACTCACATTTACTGTATATTAATTACGATGGTAAAACAGGGTTAATCTTTTTCCAGAAATGTGTGGCCAGGTCAGGTGCTTCACAGATTAGGCGCGTTCACACCAAGTACTTTTCCCACAAAGGTTCCTGAGAACTCTTTAGTTCTCATGAACTAAGTACAGATCGCGTTCACACCGGAAATTAGTTCCTGGGAGTGGATTAGGCAAATGAAGGCGCTGACGTCTATTGAGGTTAAAAACTTAAGAGGGAAATTGCAGCCCACCATTTTGCAGCCTTTATTGAAATACTACAAATCATAATGAACTACTGTGTCTAAAGGTCATTAGTGTACTGCCAAAACAAGATGGCTTTCTTTAAGCATGAAAATGTATTCCTGAACTTGGAAATAGTCACAACTTATGGTCCTCCAATTAGCTTTTCTTAGGATGTTCTACTTTTTGTCCTGACAAATGACTTAAAAAAGTTAAGATCTAATTCAGATCTAATTCAGATCTAATTCAGTGACAACTTGATACCTGCTTCTGGTTGTTATGTTATGTTAAAAGTTCAAAAACAAAGCTAGTAAGTGGAATTTGGTTTAAGCCCTTTTTGTCATACTGGTGTTTGTTCACAACGACAATATTTTCGTACTTTTTGGCGACTGTTGCATCAGTTGTGTCTGTAAGCTCCATCAAGCGAATACGCTGTTCACATTCCTGCAGCTTCTTATGGAACTGAGTCTTTTCCTGTGAAAAGTAATTTTCAAGTTAAAATATCTGAAGTAATTCTAGGGTGATTATTTTGTGGAAAGAAACTGCCTTACCCTCTCCATACACTCAAGTAGACGTTCCAGTTCAATGATCCTCTGGTCCCTGTCAGCAATCTTGGCCTCTGCAATCCTGATGTTTGCCTCGGCCTCCTCCAGTCTCCTGATGTACTCATCTAGTTGGGCCTGTGTGAGCGGCAATACATTTAGGATTAGACGATGAACTTCAATGATAATCAAGAATGTAGCATCTACATTTTTCTCAGTCAGGTTGGTTTCACTTTGGAAAACATTTATCACTGCGTCATAATCTTTTTAACTTCACACAATTATTTATATTGGCACTGAAACAGCATTTTGATAAGTTAAGGAACAAATAGTAAGGAATGCAGACTTGTAGGTTTTCGATCTCCTCCCTGTGATTCCGCTGTTCATTCTGCAGCTTCTCCTCGTACTCCTGCTGTAGCTTTGCTGAAAGCTCCTGCAGCGCCTGATTGTTGGACTCCTGTGCAGACTCCACCTGGACAATCACAGCAGAGCAAGAATCAGGCTGATTATTCCATATTGACACTAGAATGGAAGATACAGCTGATGTGTTCGTGTGCTGAAGTGAGATAGTCTTTCAGTAAATCTTGTACTGCTCTTTTCTTATGAGTAATTTCCATCTACAATGTTATTAACTCATTAGACAATTTTAGAACCAATCTCTGTCACACCAGCTGAGTAACAAGTACTGTATCTCAATGAATGTGCCAGAGCAGGTATTTCTACTGTAGTGTTCTGATGTTTGTGAGATAGATGTGTGATTACCTGCAGCCTTAAAGTCTTGTTTTCAACCTGCGCGGCCTCCAGCTCCTTCTCCTTCTCTCTGAGTTGTTCTTGTGTTTTTTCACTGGTGCTGCGGAAACTCTTCACATCGTCTCTCGTGTCCACTCTTCTCTGACAGTTCTCTATAAGAGATTTCTGCAAAGGAAACTTGTATTTATCAAGCCATCTCTTTCTGTAATGACACACCGCTGTCGAGGAACCCCTCTTCACATACACTCAAGGACATTGATTTGTTACCTGTAGGCCAATGTTAGCAGTTATAAGGGAGCTGTTCATCTGATCGAAGCTGTCCATGGCTTCCGTCCGGACCCTCACCTCTGACTCCAGACTCCTCCGATGTGAATTTGCAGTCTGCAGAAACGCATGTCAGACTCTATTTTAGTCTTTATTCACAGCTTGACACACTTGGAGTTTGATTAGGAAGTTTGGAGAAGTCCCACAGTGTTACATAATTAATTACCATGATCTCCTGTGTAAGACTCTGCATGGATTGCTGCATTCCTCCGAATTGCCCGTACATCTTCTCTCTCACCTTCTCTAAAGAATCCCTCACCTGTACAGAACATACAGATATTACATAACAGACATTGTACACACATAGCTGCCTTGAACAGATGACGTGTGGACCTGAAGGCCCAGATGCTTGCTGTGTTAGTTTCCACTCACCTCCCTGATGTACTCCATCTCACGCTGAAGGTGATTGACCGACCACTCGCGCGCCATCACTTCCTGCTGTCTGTCCGAACCCGTCCTCTGCACTACGCCGTACACTTTGGGCCCATGATTCTGCAGCGCGGTCTCTTGCGCCCCATTGGTCATGTCTCCGAGCTGCTGAGGGAGACAGGATCTCAGCGGTCAGGTTTCTGTGGCCACCCTCCACTGAGGCTGACTTCTGCTGTCATTGTGTTTGTGTAATTGTGTGCTCGCTTATGTGCACGCATGCACTCTTTTAAGTGCATTACATGTTTGTGTCTCGATGCACATGCCTGCATTTGTACACTTGCTCAGGTATTTCTAGCATTACTGCTGCTGAGCACTGGAAACAGGAGGATGGGAACAAACAGATAGAAAAAAGTGCAGGGTGTATTGGAGGTGTCATGTTTCTGCAACCCGGTACATGAGCTGCTGCCGTGTCTTCCTATTGTACTTCCAGCAGCCGGGCAACCCATGAAAACAGATGCAAACCAGCAGGGGAGAATTGAAGCATTTTAAACAATGCAATAACTAAATAAAAAATGACAGTTTTAGTCATGGGCACAGAGATTCAATTTCTTTAAATATTGTAGTGCTGTAGAGCAAGAGGCTAATGTTTTGCCTGGGAATTAGAAAGAATAATCTGTTTATATACAGTTGGAAATAAAAATAAAAATCTAATTTATTACAGTCATCTACAAGCATCTGTTTATGTTGAATATCGATGTAATCATTATAATGACAGGCTGAAGGTATGTGCAGTGAAGCGTGTTTTACGATGGGGATGTCAGTGACACACAGGCGTAGGTAGTGGTAGTGTCAGCCTATTATTCATGTGCTGCATGTTGCTGTCTACCTGCGGAGGAGACTCCCTGCCAGCTGGCCTGCCTCTTTGGGTCAGCCCATTCTTCTTCTTCCATGCCACTCTGACGTCCTTCTCCTTCTCAGTCTAAAGGGACAAACAAGTATTCAAGACTGCTGTTGTGGAAAATTCACTTGATTCCAGGTGAGGATCCTGGAAGTTCAGAAATCTACAAAAGAAGTGTTATTATTATTGTGCAAACATTCCACAACACCGATACCTTATAATTTGCTAAATGTACACACGTCACAGGTAGACAAGCTGCTCTCTCAACAAGACACGTAATGCAAGCAATCTGTTATCCTTCTTTTTTAGTTGCAATTTGTAATGGTACGTGACTTACAGTAGTTAATTGGAGATCATGTGGTGGGTATTGGAAGTGGGCCTGTCTTTAAAATGATCAAGACATATCAACTTGTTTTCACTTTAATTGCTTTTGCAAGACAAATGTCCAGATAGATAGATAGATAGATAGATAGATAGATAGATAGATAGATAGATAGATAGCCCTCATCTGCAGAGAAAGGGGCTTCTCTCTCCACATCTCTCAGAGATAAGAGTGAGGAGGAACTTGAACAAAGCAGCCAGTGTTGTCTCGTGGACAGAGCCGAGCCTCACATTTCTCCACCGCTTCATCTACAGAGGACGTGCTGTTGAGAAATGGTGAAGGCCTGCTAATAGGCGGATGCGAATTCCAGCAGATGGGAGGGAAGAACAGCCGTCTTTATGTTTTAACAACACTGCGGCCTGCTATCTGATAGAGGGCTCAGAATAACAATGTGCTGTCACTTCAGCCTTGATTTGCACAATGCCAATATTTACCACAATGCAATGTTTACCTGCTAGGGGCTGAGATTCCAGGCATGTCATTTTGGTGGAAGGAACAAAATGGGTTTCTTTTGTTTTGTTGCTTACAGGACATGACCTGCTCCAGGGGCGGCGGGTACTGTAGGCTAGGGAAAGCTAAGCCTTCCCAAATATTTGTGTCACTGCATCCTGGTAAAATAAAAATATAATGTTTGTGTCTTTGACATTAGCGCTGCTATGCAGCCACCTGTGCCCTGTACTACGAAGCCAGTTCAACAGACCCTGGATATGTTTGAGTTATCTTAACAAACCCTAACAAACGAGATCTCGCTAAGCGGTCCTACGCTGGTTATCAACTCGGTAAATCAAGCCAGGGTTTCTCTCTCCACTCTCCAGCTGAGAGCGCGTTCACGTGAAAGGGGCGGGGTTAGCAGTATTTGACCAATCACAAACAGGGACAAGTGTACTGACAGGATACAAGCCACATAGTTGCACCTGCAAGGTGAATATAGAACTGGTTAAAAAATAAATAAACTACCGAGTGTTTGAAAGCGTACAACAGTTTTATGATACTGCCCCATCTTAGACACGAGTGGATCTGACTTTAATTACATTTGAGTTGAGTGTTTCCTTAACCTAATGTGTTGCTTAGTATGCATACTTGCCAACCTTTAGACCTCAGAAATTGGGAGCATTTCAAAATGCTAAATGGGGGGGGGGGTGCTAGTGGAGAACCGGAGCTGTTAGATTAACATTAACATGCTTATTGTAGTTGTAAGTGCACTGCCTTGCGGCCTGTAGCACCGTCCTTGATGGAGCATATGTGTGGGCTGGACCTGTATTTTACAGGAAAGGAGTGAGCATTTTTGTCAAACTTTAATGTGGTCATCTTGTTCTCTGGAGGGACTTTGAAAACTCAAATTTACTCAAAAGTACACAGTAAAGTAGTTTCATATTTATTTGTGGGCAAAAGTAGTCTAANTCGAGAAGCTGACTCAGATAAGGAAATATTGTGATATGATCGATGATCTGATTGATGATGTGATATCAGTGTGATAAGTGCGACACGTCGACGTCTTCTCTGCAACGGCAGTTTAAACTGTATTTCCTTTCTCCTGTAATATGACTTGATAGATTTAAACTCCGCACACTCAGCTCTGATTGGTCAGCAGGCGGTGCTCTCATTGAGTTGATCTGTTTTCGCTCTTTACTCCGGGGCGGGCAGCGTCAGGTAAAAAAAAGTTATTTAGCCTTCCCAAACCTGAGCCTCACGCGCTGCCTATGAGAGGGATCCCTCCTGTTGCTCTCCCTGAGGTTTCTCCCATTTTTCCCTTTAAACTGTGGGGGTTTTTTTTCTCCGGAAGTTTTTCCTTGTACGATGTGAGGGTCTAAGGACAGAGGGTGTCGTTTTCTCATACTGATATTCCGCACAAACTGTGCTGTTATATTTGCTGTAAAGTGTCTTTACTGTAAGGTAATTATTATATGTAAAGCACTTTGGCTCGACCAAAAATCATTTTAAAAATGTGCTATATAAATAAAACTTGATTTGACTTGATCTAGCAAGCTATCTAGCTAATGTAAGTTATCTAGCTAGCAAATTGGTGGCTCTTGGAATTTAAATTGGTATTTTTACTAAACACCTTATGGTTAAGACTTGCATTGCGGACCTGTGTCTACCTTTCAGCCAGTCAGAGTAATTATAAAAACATTGTTTCCATGTTTTCTTTCAGCAGACCAGCTGCTATCATACAGGCAAAAACCCAATGGGATTTTTCTATTGTCTTTTGGAATATTGCAGAAAATAAACTCTGTGACCTCATGTGACCTCATCAAACAACACACCCCTCCCTCTGGAACGCCCTCCCCAGTCACATCTGAAAGACCTATCACCTATTCACTCTTTAAATCTGTAATCATCAACTCTAAAGCCCCCCCCCCCTTCATTGTGATCCCTCTCTCAACATCCCACAACGTCTCCAAATGTCATTTATAAACCATCGGCTCAATCTATGAACAGACCACTCAAACCTGGAGCAGCTCTCTCAGCCCTAAAGAGCAATATAATCCCTTTTAATAAAGCCTGCTCTCCTGCACAGCATCCAGAGCTCATTCTACTTCACAGAAGTCTGGCCAGACCCACCCAACCACAAGAAATTATAATTGAAATGATTTTTGTCTTTTGACTTGTTTTTACTCCATTAAGTTGTGTTTGCTGTGAATATGTTTTTGTTTTGCAAACACATGTCATGCTTTTCTAGTTATCACCCGTCCCCTTGTGTGTTATGAAGGTTTTTCTGCATGTAAACGGTCTGCAGAGTCACAAAGCCCTCAAAGTACACCCTGTAGCGAGTAAAACTCTAACACAGAGAAGACCTGTCTATGCTGCCCCAGAACGCCTCGTTGGACATTTCTCTTTTTCCATTTTTTTCTTCCGGGAACCAAGTGACATAACGACGACCCCTGGTCCAAATGGACCAATCCACGGACACACACACTCAATCTTTTCTCAGCTGCAGCTCCGCCGATTTCTCCTCCCTGAAACGGCGGGACGCGGCGAGGCTATGAGTCGGTGTGTGAGCACACACACAAACTCCCAGCCAGGCTGCGGGTGTGTGTGTGTGTGTGTGTGTGTGTGTGTGCTCTTAGGTCCCGTGCGAAACACAGGAGTCGTCATGTAAATGACCGTTTCAGGTCTCGCTATTTCCCTTGTAACTTTTTCTCACCCGACGTAGTTTATTTTTTCCGTCCCGGTGACATATTCCTTATATTATGTAGTAAGTTTATCTATTCATTATCATACGTTAATTAATACAAAAGTCAATTTAATAGGTTATATTGTTCAATACTATATAATTACATCAGTAAATTAATACACTTCTCATTTACCATGGAATTCAGGTCAGTACCGTTTAAAGAAACTAGAACTAGCGTAAACAACTCCAAGATCCATGAAATAAACACGTATAAAAGAGGATCATGATTGTAAACCAAAGAGATGACATAATCAATAACACATAAAGTGAGAGCAGGATTGAGCGAAACAAACCTACGAGGACGGGGGGAGGGTACCCGGTACCCGGCAGACGCCCTGTCACCCTCGTTGTCCGCCTTTTGGGTCCGGCTTGTGGTGTCTAGAGATGTTGTGGGTGGTGTTGTGTGTGTGAGTTGTGTGGTGTGTGGTGGTGTGTGTGGGTTGTTGAGTGTGTGTGTGGNGTGCTAGTGGAGAACCGGAGCTGTTAGATTAACATTAACATGCTTATTGTAGTTGTAAGTGCACTGCCTTGCGGCCTGTAGCACCGTCCTTGATGGAGCATATGTGTGGGCTGGACCTGTATTTTACAGGAAAGGAGTGAGCATTTTTGTCAACTTTAATGTGGTCCTTCTTGTTGTCTGGAGGGGACTTTGAAACTCAAATTACTCAAAAAGTACACAGTAAAAGTAGTTAATATTATTTGTGCAAGTAGTCGAAGAAGTACTAAGTACAAACATGGCAGTTTCATAATCTACTTATGGAAGAAATGTTTTTTATCCCACGTCAAAGTTAAACGAAAATGCTCCTTCTTGTTGTCCGGAGGGGACTTTGAAACTCAAATTACTGAAAAAGTACACAGTAAAAGTAGTTCATATTATTTGTGCAAGTAGTCTAAGAAGAACTAAGTACAAACATGGCAGACTCATAAACTACTTATGGAAGAAATGTTTTTTAGATCACATTAAAGTTGACAAAAATGCTAATTCTTGTTCTCTGGAGAGGACTTGAAACTCAAATTACTGAAAAAGTACACAGTAAAAGTAGTTCATATTATGTTTGCAAGTAGTCTAAGAAGTACTAAGTACAAACATGGCAGTTTCATAAACTACTTATGGAAGAAATGTTTTTTATCCCACGTCAAAGTTAAACAAAAACGCTCCTTCTTGTTCTCTGGAGGGAATTTTGCCATTCTCAAAAAGTACACAGTAAAAGTAGTTCATAGTATTTGTGCAACAAGTTTATGAAGCAATAAGTCCTACAATTATTCTCATAAATTACCCTGTTCCTCAATCGCAAATAATAGAAATGAACCACATGCCATCCTTTACTTTGAAATCCAGCTTCCCAGAGTTGTTTTATTGCATTACCGTAAACCTGTAACTAATCGCAAGACGGCTGGCTTGACCGCAGTGACTACGGTCTGGTAGCCGACAGGAAAGTTCAACACACAGATGGCCAGTCCGCCCCTTTGTAGCATATTATTTCGATGAGCAGATCGCCACTGGGCTTTCAACTAAAGACACAGCCACGCAAAAACTG